CCCTCTCTCTTTGCAAAAGTCTGTTTCCCTGGTCCCGTGTCCTGTGAAAATGGCCCAGGACCATGCAGGTGAGGTACAAGCCCCGCCCGTTCGAGCGGTGGCTTCGCCAATTCCTCAGCTCTCACCTTGTCTCCTGATGGACTGAGCCCGCGACAGGGCAACCGGACCTTCCAGTTACATGGGCTCTGTGTCCTCCCCAGCTGGCTGTCCAAGGATCAGGGGCGAGAACAGTGACCTGGCCTCGATTCTGTGTTGGACCTCCCACACCTTCTCTCTGATTCATGTTAATTTCTTTTCTGCGACTGTTTTCACTGTAAAATTTGATTTTCTGGGGCCAGAGCAGTACTGCGGTGAGTAGGGCACGTGCCTTGAATGTGACCGACCTGGGTTCCATCCCTGGCACCCCCTCGGAGTCCTGCCGGGAGTCACTCCTGAATGCGGAGACAGGAGAAGGCCCTGAGCACCACCAGGTGTGATGCTCCAAGCACCTCCAAGCCCAAAAGCATATAAATAAATAAAATTGAATTTTCTGAGCTGACGCTCAGGCAAGGTGGGTTAGAACTGGCATCCGAGTCGGTGCCAGGCGATGCGTGAGATGCTAGTGACGGGAACTCTACAGCAGGTGCTAGGTTCCAATCCACATCATGGCTGTGTGGGCCGGCGCTAAGCCACAGTCTCTCTGGGCCAGCTTCCTCAGATGAACAATTGGGGTAATAGTCACACCTGCCTGCTTAACCCATAACAGAGGGAAAGCTGCCTAGCGTGCTGTGAAACCCTCGCCTTCTTCTTCATTATTATTATGAATCATTATTCATAATATTGAACAATTCATTTTTATGTTACTATAATAATGTAGCACTGTAGCACTGTCTTCCTGTTGTTCATGGATTTGCTCGAGTGGGCACCAGTAACGTCTCCATTGTGAGACTTGTTGTTACTGCTTTTGGCATATCGAATACGCCAAATACGCCACGGGAGCTTGCCAGGCTCTTCCGTGCGGACGAGATGCTCTTGGTAGCTTGCTAGGCTCTCCTAGAGGGATGGAGGAATAGAACTCGGGTCGGCTGTGTGCAAGGCAAACGCCCTACCCACTGTGCTATCGCTCCAACCCAATATAATAATATATAATATAATTTAATAATCAGTCACGATCACGATCCTCCTGTTATTCATCGATTTGCTCGAGTGGGCCCAGTAATGTCTCCATCGTGAGACTTGTCGTTACTGTGTTTGGCATATTGAATACGTCACAGGGAGCTTGCCAGGCTTTGCCGTGCGGGCGAGATAGTCTCGGTAGCTTGCCGGGCTCTCCAAGAGGGGCGGAGGAATCGAACCTGGCTCGGCCGGGCCGGCTGCACGCAAGGCAAACACCCTACCACAGTGCTATATCGCTCCAGCTAATAAATAATGATTTATTAAATTAGAAATTATAATTAGATATTATGTATATTTATGAAATTTATACTACATAATATAGCACATATATTATATAAGCATCACTTGATCACTTGACTTTCCAATAATCATCGATTTGCTCGAGCGGGCGCCAGTAACGTCTCCATTTGTCCCTGTCGCGTGCTAGTGTAGCCCAATGGCGTCTGTTCGCTCCGGGAACATGAAGGGCCTCAAGCATATATTATGTTATATATCATGTATCATTTATATGTGTATATTAATGTATTATCTAATTTCATTTCATTTTCATTTCATCATCCTGTTATTCGTCGATTGCCTCGAGCAGGCCCCAGTAACGTCTCTTTCATCCTAGCCCTGAGATTATATTCACGGCTTTTTAGGAGAATGAGACCCATCATTGTTACTGGTATTTGGCATATTGGGTACGCCACGGGGAGTTTGCCAGACTCTGCCTTGTGGGCAGGCTACATTCGATAGCCTGCAAGTTTGTCCAAAGTAGGAATGAGATAATAAGATGTCATAAAGAAAAGTTCTGATAAGATGTCAAAAGACTGCACTGTTCTCGTCCGGGATCTGGATTTTATATTCTCTGAGTCTTGGCCGCTGATGGGATTACACGGCGCCAGGGGGCCAGGTGGTGGGTGTGACCCCCGCCTACTGGAATTTGGAGGATCTGGGTGGAAGATGCTCGACTTCAATTCCAGTAGGCTTGGAGGTCTCGGCCCCGGAACCCGCGTGGCTTTGTCCCTCTGCCAGTACCTTCAGGTGTGCGGAGAGTGGTCTCAGCATGGTGGTGGCTGGTCCTGGAGGTCTTCGGCTGCCGGAGCCCTGGTCGGGGCGGGGAGGAAAGCTCAACCCGCTCCCGTCCAACGGGCCCCGGCGAGGAACAGCCAGGAGCGGGGGCAGAAGTATTATCTAATAATGTAATCAATTATATGTATGAGATATACGTTGTGTGTGTTTATATATTATATATAAGTTTATACTATATATTTTAGTGTTATGTAATATCAGTGATATATATGTTTAATGGGTTTTACAGTTCTGGAGGCCTGAAGCCCAGAGGACCTGCTCAGTCTCTGTGTCTGCTGTGTGGATGTGGGCAAGCCCGTGAGAGAGAAAACCGCCCATGGGAACATGGTCTCCACTGGCCCAGAAAACTCTGCTTCTCGTGGTAGAAGTATCTCCGTTGTTCAGATTTGCAAAGCTGAAAGAGAGCTGCCACTCCCTCAAGCACCCTCGTGCCTACTCAAGGGAGAGTTCTTGGTGTCCTGACTGTGCGCTGACACCCCCACTCCATCTCTGCGTGACTCTCACATGACCATTCTGCATGCTTGAAGGGGCTTTGCCAAGAGTTTGTGTCCTGAGCCCAAGAGACAGTACAGAGGTAGGCACTTGCCTTGCAGGAGTCCGACCTGGGTTTGAGTCCTGGCACTCCGTGCGGTCTCCCAAGCCCTGCCAGGAGTGGTCCCTGAGCGCAGCCAGGTATGGCCCCGAACAGCAACAAGAAAAATGAGTTCACGTCTTCGACACCGAACACCTCATTATGATAATGGCCAGGCTCCCTGGAGCCGACAGCCAGTCCGAGCCAAGAAAATCCAGGCTGGAGAAAGTCCAGCTGACCTGTGGATAACTTCCAGCTCTGCTGTAATCTCATTATGATCCATTTGCACAGTGGAAACCATGCCACAAGTTTACAGCTGCCATGGCAACCTCGAGAGGCACCCAAACCAACTGGGATCCGGGGGGGACCTTGAGACCAGAAAAACCATCCACCCCTGCCCCCAAACTCCTCTGAAATCTCACGAATACTCACCTTTTATTAATTCACCCTGTTTCCATACCTATATAACTGAGTCGTGAGTGCAGAAACGGGAGCGTGCCCTTATTGATTCTGAGTGTGGACTCACTGTCTTGTTTGGGGGCCACGCCTGGCAGTGCTCGGGGCTTACTCTTGGCTGTGTTCAGGGCTCACTCCTGGCAGTGCCCGGAGAACCAGATGGGTTGCCAGGGATCGAGCCAGGCGCAGAGGCAAGCAAGGCAATGCGCCCTGCCTGATGTGCTATCCTGAATGTGGACCTTTAGTCGACTGCCAGCTTGGGAGACAGCGCCAATGTGATCTGTGTGCAGGAAGCCGGGAGCAGACCCTGGGCACTGCTGGGTGTGAGCCCCAAACCAAAAAAGTGCACACCTGCACACTAATTGTGCGTGTACCTGTGTGCACTGGGATTCGAACCCAAGGCCTCACATATGCATGGCAAAGTGCTGTGCCACCAAGCTCCGCCCCCAGCCAACCCCCCTCCCCATTCCGTGCTCGGGTCTCTTAAGCCCTTTTCTTTTTTGGGGGTGTGTCACACCCGGCGATGCACAGGGGTTACTCCTGGCTCTGCACTCAGGATTGCTCCTGATGGTGCTCGGGGGACCATATGGGATGCTGGGAATCGAACCCGGATTGGCTGTGTGGCTGTGTGTAAGGCAAACGCCCTGCCCACTGTGCTATTGCTCCAGCCCCCACCCTTTTCTTTTTTTCCCTTCTTTTTCTTTTTGGGTCACATCCAGCGATGCTCAGGGGTTACTCCTGGCTCTTGCACTCAGGAATTACTCCTGGCAGTGCTTGGGGGAACCCTATGGGATGCTGGGAACCGAACCCTGGGCCGGCCGTGTGCAAGGCAAACACCCTACCCAATGTACTAGCAGTCTAGGCTCAGATAAGCCCTTTTCTAAAATGCTTCTTTCACCTGTGTGCTGTTCCCCGGGATCCAGGCCCTGCAGCTCAGCGCAAGCCAGTTTCCTCTCAAGACACCAGCGCGACTCTGGAGCTGCGTTTCTGCCTGCACTCTGTGGAGAGTGCTCCCTTGGGCCACCACAGCACGGATCAGCACCAACAGCCACCTCACCACCAGGCCACATAAGACAGAGAACGCAAGGCGGGGCCAAAGGCTTGGCGAGAAGACGGGACCGGACGAGGAGCCGACAGCCATTCCCTGCTTTCTGCAAAGATGGAAGACAGGACAGCTACTCGGAAACAGTGCTCACAGAAGAGGGGGCAGAGATGCCTGCCCAGCATCTGCCCCAAGGCAGGCACAGACCATCTACGGAGCCTGGGGTCACCTTCAGAGCCTGGGGCCAGCCCGGCCCCCAGACCCACTCCGTGACCCTCAGCCAAGGACAGTGACTGTGAGTCATCCTGTCCACGCGTGTGGAGGTGCCTCCCTGGCATGGGACTCCTCCTGGGGCAGCCGCCAAGGTGAATGGCCTGAAAACTGCCCTCAATGGGCCTTCACTGGCCAGCCTGGAACCGGTGGGGACCTCGGGGCTCCCAGTACGTCCAGGCATGCTCCAGGCCTTGCAAGGCTCTAGGTGACAAAAGGGGGATAGCGTCTCCTGAGGACTGGAGCCTGCACCCCTCCCTGACTCCTGGTGCCCTGCCATGTTCATCCTCCCCAGTGTGTGGTGTCCAGTACCACCTCCTGCAACTGGAGTCTGTCGTCCCCGGGAAACCTGTCCAAGTCATCAGCGATGAACCTTGGGGACCGCAGCTCCTGATTTGCCAGAGATGAAGTGACAACCCACAGAGCCCGCAGTGTTTGTTTAATCGGCGGGTGGGGGGAGGCCACAGATTTGCATATGTCCCCGCCAGCCCCCGCCCTAGCAAATCCAGTCCTTGGATGCAAACCAGCGCTCCAGACGGCGGCTGCAGTGAGCACGTACAGTAAAGGTGTCCGGCAGGCCTGGGGGCACGAGACTCCCCGCTCCATCTGTCCCTTCTGGCTGCCAGCAGTGGGGTCTACGGGGACACGGTCCAACCTTATGGTCGCTGGGCAATTTGATTCTGGGCATCCCCAGTTTGAAAGTAGCTTCTCTCTTAACGGTAGCACCTGCTAGCAAACCATCACTGCTTGAACAGCACAACTGCAGTGCCGGGGTGATAGCACAGCGGGGAGGGCGCTTGCCTGACCCTGATTCAATCCCCGGGACCCCACAGGGTCCCCTGAGCAGGGCCAGGGATCGTTCCTGAGTGCAAGCCAGGGTCAAAAAACAAACCAGAAAGAAAAAAAAAGAAAGAAAATCACATCGTTCCTTCCCTCTCAGTTAACTGCACTTGGCTGACCCTTCCTGTGTCCACCACAAGAAGCGCCAGTCCACGCCTGGGCCCGCGGGGAGCTTCCGGCCGCCTGGCCTGCACCCACACTTGCTGCTGGTTCCGGGCTTCTCTCTGACGGCTGTTCTCTCGGCTCCATCCATGTGCCGTGCCGTGGGGTGACGGCAGCGCACTCAGCAGATGCTCAGACGCTCACATCTCGCCGTGGGCAGCAGCTGAGAAAACCCCGGGTGGCCATGCAGTGGGCCAAAGACGTGGGCAGTGCCTGACTGTCCACGAGCCCCTCAAGCCTGGGAGCCTCCTGCCCCTCTGCGGGGACGGTGGTGAGCAGGCAGGGAGCGGGCGCCTGGCTCCCGGGGCTCCGTATCTGTCGCCCACACAAGGTCCTTCCAAGACGCGGGCAATGCCCACCCAGAGGCCACCCTGCTGGGGGCTGGTGGCAGGCCCGGGCACCCCTGCAGACCTCAGCCCCTAAGACGTGCTCAGGCATGTGGGCGCTGCAGGGAGCGGTGGGAACCCTCCCTCTCCGGAGACAGTCAAAGACAGGCTGGACTCGGGGAGGGCCCCGGGAGTCAGGGGGCTCCCCGGGGGGGAAGACTTGTCTCCACAGCAGCAGCCGCAGCAGGGGCCGCTGGCCACCACGGGGGCCTTGGACCGGTCCTCCTGCCCGTGACACTGCTTCAGGTGCCCGCACAGGTGGCAGGTGAGGGCTGAGTAGACCACGGCACCCCCCAGCTCGCCCCGGAGGGGCTCCGGGTCCTGCTCTGCGGGGGGTCCTCCCTTTCCTGGCTGCAGGGAGCCGCCTCCGGGCAGCGGCGAGTGCCCAGGGCCGTGGGGTGGGCCGGGGTCCAGTCCAAAGGTGAGCAGAGGGACGGGGGCCACACAGGTGCCGGGTGCCAGGCTCTCGAAGGGCCTGTAAACCCCGCCGCCGCCGCCGCTGTCCTGCGACGCGGCGGGCTTGCACGGGAGCAGGCTGGAGAAGGCCCGGTAGCCGGCCGGGGTCCCCGCGGGTCCCATCCCCGTGGGTGGGGTCTCCGCGCCTTCCTCCGCGGCACCCTGAGCCACCGCCTGCAGGAACCCCCGGTAGCCGCCAGGGGGCGCGCGCTGCAGGCCCTGGGGCCCGGTTTCAGGCTCGGGGGGCTGCGGGCAGGAGGGTGGCGGATCCCCGGGGTCCCCGGGCTGCCCCCCGTCCTGCAGGCACTGCTGGAAACTGCGGTATGCTGGGTTGTCAGAGCCGCCCGCGGGCCTCTGGGGGCAGGCTGGGCCCGCCGGCGCCGGTGGCGGCGGCTCGGACCCGGGGCTGAAAAGCTGGCCCTGGCCCGGGCACGACACCTCCGGGGGTGCCAGCACCCCGGGGTCAGGCCCGAACAAGCCCAAGAACAGCTTCTCCGTCAGCCGGTCGGCGATGTCCTTCCTGCCGTCCAGGCCGGCGCCCGCGGTGCTCCCTTTCTCCTCCTGCTCCTCTTCCTCCTCCTCCTCCTCCGGCTCCTCCTGCTTCTCTGCTCGGGCCAGCTCCACGCACTGCACCACGCTGATGCGCTCGGGCCACAGCACCGTCCTGCTGGCCTCCAGCGGCTGCCACGTGGACACACAGGGGCCGTGCCCCAGTCCGGTGCTGCCCACCTTGGTGGCTGCCCCGTCCCCTTCCTGGCTGTGCTCCAGGAAGCAGGGCAGGAGCTTGGTGAGGCAGGTCTTCCAGTGTCTGCGGGAGCAAAGGCGGGTCAGGACTCGGAGCTCCGTGGACAGACCTCCTGACTTCCTGACCGACCATCTCACCGCGTACCCTGACCGGAACTCCCCAAGGCAGGCCTTGTGGCATTGGGGGGCTTCTGGGGCTCACTGTGTGGCTCCCTGGGCCAGAGAGAGTGCCACGGGCAAGGGACAGTGTTAAGGGCTCCCCTTGTACACGGTCACGGTCGGCCCATGGTCCCACATGGCCCCCAGTACCGCCAGGAGTCAGCCCCGAGCACAGAGCCAGGAGTCAGCCCTCAGTACAGAGCCAGGAGTCAGCTCTGAGAACCACCGGGTGGCCCCCCAAACAATCAGTGTGACTGATACATACCCAGACTACTGTATATGAAGAACTTTTTGCTGGAAAAATGATATTTACTTTTTTTCCCCCCACACCTGGCTGTGCTCAGGGCTTACTCCTGTCCCTACAATCAGGGGAGGAAGGTGAGATTTAAAATCATGTCTGGGGGCTGGAGTGATAGCAGAGCAGGGAGGGCGTTTGCCTTGCACGCAGCTGACCCGGGTTCGATTCCCAGCCAGGAGTAATTCCTGAGTGCAGAGCCAGGAGTAACCCCTGTGCATCGCCAGGTGTGACTCCGCCCCCCCCCCCCCCCGCCAAAAAATAAAATAAAATCATTTCCGGGGACCAAAATGATACTCGACCAACCTGGGTTTGATTCCTGGCATCCGACATGGTCCCCGAGCACTGCCAGGAGTGCTGCCTGGGTGCCGCTGGGTGTGGCCCCCACCCCCCAAATCATTCCCTGCACTAGAGTAATGACAGACGGGAATGGTGGTGGGGTGCTGGGCTAGAGCAGGTGGGGGTTTCTGCTGGGGCGAGACAAACTTTCAGTAACGAACTGAGGGCAGGTCCCCTCAGGTCCCCCCGAGCGGAGCTCAGGATGTACGGGTGGGGTGGGTGCTGGAAGCCTCAGAAACGGCCCCCACAGCATGAGCTGAGCACCACCCAGCCGCCTGGCCCTTCCTGCCCTGCTCGGGTGACACGGGCACATTCGTGGCATCCGGCTTCTGTGACATTCAGGGGCTCCCCTGGAAGCCCCCCTTGCCCGCGCCGCAGGCCCGTATAACAGAACCAGCGAGTGCAAGGAGGAGGCAGAGGGGGAGCAGGTGAGCCCCCCCCCTCCGCACCCCACCCCACTCCCAGCACCCGAGGAGGCCCGGCAGATACGTACGGGTGCGTGGTGGCCTCCTGGCGTGGGCACGGCTTCCCCCACACAGGCCCCTGCAGCGGAGAGACAGCCGGTGAGAGGGGCCCTGAACCCCGGCCCCAAGAGAGCAGGCCGGCCCTCGCTCCGGGGGTGCTCGGGCTGTCCCCAGGAGAGAGCCAGGAGGGCAGAGAATCTGGGCGGGGTGTCTCCAAGGGAGGACGGGGTGACCTCGGGGCGCATCGGGAAGCTCAAAGGAACCACAGAACCAACACCCTCGAGAGGTGTGCCCGGCTGAAGGGCGTGAGATCCCCCACCCCGAAGCGTTTCTCCCCCCGAGAACCCCACAGCCCAGGCGCTCTGCACCCCCGGCCTCCTCCCGCATCACCCCCAGACCGGGCTACCTACCTGGGGCTCCTGGGTCATGATGGACATCAGGGGGCTGTGGGCCGGGCTGGGGATCTGGTCCCACCACTCCTTCTTAATCCTGAAAAGCACAGCAACGGCCTGGGTCCGAGCCACTGACTGGCGTGACAGGCCCTTGGCCGTTCCCTGGGTCAGAGCCCCAGGGATGGGGTGTGGGGGGGAACCCCCGTCCTCAGTGTCCGGCTGCTGACGTGGGCTCCCCATGAGAGCGCTGGCTGCCGGGGAATCTCACACTCACGCCCCCAGCTGTTGTTTCACAGTCTCCTCCATTAAAAAAAAATAAATCAGGGACTGGAGCAATAGCACAGCGGGTAGGGCGTTTGCCTTGCATGCAGCCGATCTGGGTTCGAATCCCAGCATCCCATAGGGTCCTCCGAGCACCGCCAGGAGTAATTCCTGAGTGCAGAGCCAGGAGGAACCCCTGAGCACTGCTGGGCGTGACCCAAAAAGAAAAAAAAATCCCCCTGTGTTTTTGTTTGGTTTTGGTGTGACACCCGGCAGTGCTCAGGGGTCACTCCCAGCCGGGGCTGCTATGGGTGGTTCTGGGGGACCAGGCGGTGCTGGGGATGGAACCTGGGGCTCACTTCCGGTTGGGTCCTCTATGGACAGGCCAGAGGGGGCCCCCCACCCCCCCGAGCATCCCACAGAGCGCAGGACTCACTTGGTGATGCTGAAGTAGCAGGATACGCAGACGAACAGGATGATGGTGCAGGAGACGGTGACGCCCAGCTGGAGGCGCTGCTCCCAGGGGGGCTGGTGGTCTGCAGGGCAGGGGTGGGTGAGCCGGGCCCGCGGGGAAGTCGGCCCCCAGCCCCACCTCCCCACAGCTCTGTGTCCCCCCGGCGACCCGGAACGAGCACCCTCTTCCCAGAAGACACCAGCCGGCCTCGCGAGCCTCGCCTCCTCGGCGCTGGCTGGGACCCTCTCGCCCCCTCACCCCGGGCTCGCTTCCCACATCTGCGGCACAGCGGGGTTCCGCCTCTCCGGCGTGGTGGGGACTGCGTGAGGCCACACCCACGGGAGGCCGTCCTCCCCCCCTTCACCGGCCCCTGCTCCCTTCTCCCCCCGCCACCCCTTCCACCCCTCCCTGGGCCCCCATCACCTCTTCCCTCAGCTGCCCTGCTGCCTTCTCTGTCAGTTGGATCGAGATCTGCTGAGGTTATGTGCGTGTGTGTGTGTTAATGAGTACGTGTGTGTGAAGGGCTGGAGAGATAGCACAGCGGGTAGGGCATTTGCCTTGCACGCGACCGACCTGGGTTCGATTCCCAGCATCCCATATGGTCCCCCGAGCACTGCCAGAGGTAATTCCTGAGTGCAGAGCCAGGAGGAACCCCTGTGCATCGTCAGGGTTAACAAACACAAAAACAAGTGTGTGAATGTGTCCAAAAGTGTGTGATTTCTTGTCATCTGGATCAAGATCTTTTCTTGTGTGTGTGTGTGTGTGTGTGTGTATACAAATGAGTGTGTGAATATAAAGTATATGTGTGTTAGTGTGTACAAAAGTGTGTTAAAAGTATGTTTCTGTGACTTCCTGTCATCTGGGCCTGGATCTATCTGGGGTGTGTGTATGTGTGGGGGGTGGTGCATGTGTGTGTGAGTGTGTGTGTGTGTGTGTGCTGGCTTCTCCGCACGCCCTGCCCCCCTGCTCACCCCGCCGCCCCTCCCCCAGACTCACTGTTCTTCCAGGAAACGGGGTGGCTCCAGTCACTCCAGGCGCTGCCGTAGTCAGGGGCGCGGGCCCTCACCCGGGCGCTGTAGGAGGCCCCAGGTCTCAGGGTGCTGGCTGAGAAGCGCAGGGCCGTGTCCCTGTAGGTCACGTTGTAGACCTTGAACTGGCAGAGGGGACGGGGGCGTTGGGTGCCAATGGCAGGGCAGGGACGGCCACCAGCCTGCTGTCTCCCGAGCCCGCCCCAGTGCTCAGGGGTCCTCCGCCCTGGTCACAGCCGGCTGGGCGTCCTCGCCACACAGGGCCTGAGGCCAGGGGGATGGGCTCCAGGCTCGACCCTCGACCCCTCCCCCTCCGGTTTCCTGCGTGCTGCCTTCCACATCCTCCCAGAGGTGGGTGGGGGGGTGGTCGTGGCACCCCCGGGCCAGGCAGCAGCGCCACCATACACGGTCTTGCTCCTGAGCAGTGGAAACCAACTGGCGGCGGTGGCAGAGACAGAGATGCCTCTGCGTCTGGGGCATCAGCTCCTGTCGCTGGAGAGGGGGTGGGGGGCAAGGGGAGCATCCCAGGGGCGCTGAGGGTGCAGGGGATGGGGGTGGGGAGGACTCTTGTGCCCCCTTCATGTCCCTCCTCCCCACTGCAGACTGGAGCAATGGCTGGATGGCATTCACGCGAGGACCGAGGAACAGAATGGCTCACCAGGGAGAGAGGCGGGGGTGCCAAATGCCTCCCTGGGGACCCAAGGTCACAGCTAAGGGTGTTTGCTAGTTTATCACAGTGTGCTGGGGAGATCATGTCTATGAGGAAGGTGTGGGCCTGGAGGGGGGAGAGGGAGGGTGGGAGAGAGAGAGGGAGGGAGAGAGATGAGAGAGAAGGAGAGCGAGAGGATGGAGAGAGAGAGAGGGAGAGAGGGGGGGAGAGAGAGAGGGATGGGAGAGAGAGACAGCAGAGACTCCAGGGGTGCGAACCCCAGCTCCACTGGTTCCCACTGTGGGCCCAGCCTGGGTCCTCATCACGGATGCACACAGCCACCTGCCAGCCCGACCTGTGCCGGGACAGAGTCAGCCCAGGGTGTGGCATCAACCAGGGCTTCTGTTCCCAGGCTCACTCCCGCATCCTACCACCGGGCACACCGTGGATTTTCATGCCTCAAGCCTTTGCCTGGCTCCCCATTCCCTCATCCAACTACTAGCAAACTCCTACACACCCTGCCATGACCCAGCTCAGGAGTTTCCCTCCACTCCTGTAGGTGCCCAGATATCCTAGTGGGTAGCGAGGGGCTTCATCCCCCAAATGCCTCCGACCCCGTCTTAGCATCCTTCCCTCCGAGCCTGAGTCTGGCTTTGGACTGAGCAAAGGAGCATCACTCAGCCGTGCCCCTGGACACCAGGAGCCAAAGCCCGGGCTGGGCCGACCTCTGCCTCCAGCTCAGCCTCCATCCTCATTGACTGTGGCTATCCCACACCCCAGCCTGTGATTGGTTAGAGACGAGCATGTGACCGTGGCCTGGCTCTGTTCGCTGGCGAGGAAGAGGAGGAGGAGGAGGAGGAGGAGGGGGGGGGAGGGGGAGGGGGAGGGGGGAGGAGGAGGAGGAGGAGGAGGAGGAGGAGGAGGAGGAGGGGGCCCGGACTCTGCATCCCCAAACGAGAGAGGCGGGATGTTGAACTGGGAGGGCCCAGGAGCAGCTCTGGGCTTCTACACTGGAGTTCAGCGCCAGGTCCTAATCTGGCTGCACAGTCCATTTTCCTCCCCTGGGGGGCGCTGTGGGCGGCACCAGCATTCCTCATTCATCTGAGGGGGGCGAGGGGTAAGCCCCCGTAGGCACAGCGGTGGGCATGCGACTGCCCGCCAGCCAGGACAAGCAGGTTGCCTGAACACTGGCCCGGGACTGGGGTCCTCTCTGCACCCGCCTCATTCCCGCCAGGGCTGAGGGGTGGACGCCCCGGGGCTCACTGGCCTCTAGCCCCAAGGCCAGCGCTGTGGAATGCAAGGCCGACATTCTGGGAGCCTGGCCTGCCGATGGAAGGACAGCCAGAAACCAGCCAGCCAGCGGCGTCGCCAGCCCTCTGGCCGCTCACCCTTTTCCCTCCAGACCCGGGCAGGGGGGGCACGACCTGGACCCCTTTCTCCTGTCCTCTCCCCAGCCTCCCTCTGAGCCTGGCCAGCTCCCTGCTGCTCCTGTGACATCCTGGTCCAGCGCTCCGGGGAAAACACCTGAGAGCCGGACCCCCCTCCACTGTCCCCTCCCCGCCTGACGGCACCCGGTCTGGCCAGGAAGAGGAAGCAGTCGCCAAGGCTGACGTGGGCGTCCCAAGCCAGGGGAAGGCTGGCTCCCTGCAGAACTGGGCCAGCCTGGGCCCCCCGCCCCACCCCCCAGAGGCCGGATGGGAGAGCGGCTGGGGCTTTCCGTGGCCTGTGGCCTCCTGAGGGCAGGGCGGGATGCTGATGGCCTCGGAGCCAGGCTGGGGGCAGGGCCTGCCTGCTCTCTGCACCCCAGCTCAGGAGTTTCCCTCCACTCCTGTGCGTGGGCCAGGTATCATAGCGGGTAGCGAGGGGCTTCATCCCCCGAATGCCTCCGACCCCTTCTTAGCATCCTAAGAAGGAATGGGGAGCAGTGTCCTGAAGCTCGTGGCATAGAAGGGGAAACTGAGGCACCCGGCTGTGAAACGACATTCAAGATGGTAACTCTGGCAAAGCAACCAGGTAGGGATGGGGACTCGGCACACAGCTCATTGGGGTGTCGGGCACTCGGCGCAGCGGTCTCCCCATCACTGGGGGTGTGGGAGGGCCGCGAGGGACACCCTCCCCTGCAATCAACACAGAAGGGGGCCCGCCCTGTGCGTACAAATGGGTGTGTGAATAGGAAGTATGTGTGTTTCAGTGTACAAAAGCGTGTGTCTGTGTGTGTGTGTGTGACTTCCTGTCATCTGGGCCTGGATCTGTGTGTGTGTGTGTGTGTGTGTGTGTGTGTGTGTCTGTGTGTGTGTCTGTGTGTGTATGCGCACGCTGGCTTCTCCACTTGCCCTGCCTCCCCTCCCCACCCTCCCCCACCGCCCCCCCGACTCACAGTTCTGCCAGGAACCGGGACAGTCCCAGTCCCACTGTGCAGAGGGCTCCTTGGGTCCCGGTGCCCCACACACAAGGAGGCAGAAACCATGTGCCAGCTGCCAGGGGGACCCCGCGGCGGGACAGGGGGAGAGGCTTCGCGGCATCCACTCACGTCGGCAGGGTCATCCTCGTTGGTGATGTTGACCAGGTAGGTGAGCTCCGAGTACAGGTTGTGTTCCGGCTGATACGGGTTGCTCCACGTCAGCAGCCACGTGTTGGAGACGTTGGCGCGGATTCGGAGGTGGCCGGGCGCCCTGGGCTTCACTGTGGACACACAGGTATGGTCAGGGGCTGGGGGCGAGGGGGAGACGGGCCCGCACACAGGCACTTCTGGGCAGGGGACCCCACGAGATGGGCTGATGCCCATGAGCCATGGCTGGGGTGCCATCCTGAGCACGTCCTGGAGGAGGGTGGGGGGCGCAGCCTCTTCCCAGACCCAGTGCCAGGAGGCTCAGGCCTGGGGACCCACACGCGGCCTCTCCTGGTCCGATCTGGGCTCACCTGCACTGCTCACGGGCTATTTGACTGATCCAGATGTTTTAGAACTGTTTGTTTCTGAAGCCAGGATAGCCATGATATCAAAAGAAAATTATTTGGGGCCACAGCAACTTACACAAGACCGACCCCTGGGTTCGATTCCCGGCATCTCATATGGTCCCCCGAGCACTGCTAGGAATAATTCCTGAGTGCATGAGCCAGGAGTAACCCCTGAGCATCGCCGGGTGTGACCCACAAAGCAAAAAAAAAAAAAAAAAAAAAAGAAGAAGAAAAAGGAAATCATCTGCACTAAATTAAACACATGTTGAATTGTTGAATTATTATTATTATTATTTTTTCTTTTTGGGTCACACCCAGCAATGCTCTGGGGTTATTCCTGGGTCAGCCACAAACAAGGCAAACACCCTGCCCGCTGTGCTATCACTCCAGTCAGAATTGCTGAATTTTTGTGTGTGTGACAGGGATTGAACCCAGGACATCAAACACACAAATTATTTTATTTTTTAAATGCCTCCCCCAACCAACCTCCCCTGCTACAGACACACACACTCACACCACCACCACCACCACCACCACCACCGGCAACAGTTGTGTGACCTCAGGCAGATTACTTTCCTTTCCTGATCTATAGTTTGTTCAACTGGGAAATGGGATCAGTAACTCTCTTCTAGAAACTGGAGATCAGAGAGGTCATGGGTCTTGTCTAAGAGCACACAGTAATATCCAGTGCTTTATAAATCTCGTTGCTCACAGGGGCCTGGGAAGTTGCCCAAGACTCTGGGTCCCAGGATACAGTTGATCTCCAGGGCCCCAGCAGCAGCAGCTGACCTGCTGGTCAGTGGAAGGACACCCTGATCCCCGGACCCAGGGCTGAGTTTGCTCCAGAGCATGAAGCTGTGTCTGAGATGGGAGAAACCCCCCTTCCCCCCCTCCCCACCCCGGCCGCTGGAGCTGCCTCGGGGCTGGGTGGCCACCCACCATGCTGGCAGGGGACGAAGGACCCATTCCACAGCAGCCGGCTCCCGGCCCACAGGTCCAGCTGGTAGGTCTCGCTGGCCACAATGTCGTCCATCTGCAGGTTGCACACGCACTCAGCGTCGGCTCGGTTCTCGGGAATACACGTGTAGTTCCTGCGAACAAGGTGGCGTTAGCACGGGCCCGGCTGGGCTGGCCGGGACCCTCATCAGGAGGGGCCCCCAGGAATCACGGCTTCCGGCCGGCCACGAGGCCCAGGTCTGGGACATGGGATCAGACTGAACGGGTGTGGTGGGGCCCCGGCCCAGGACCAACCTCCTCTGTCCCTCACCCCAGAGCCAGGGGCGGGGGGAACGTGGGGCCCTAGGGATGGACGAGCCACCCACAGGCACGCTCCCAGATGCTTTCCGTAAAGGCCGGAGGGGAAGAGCCCATTGGGATTTTGGTGCCCATTGTTGTCCCATGGACTCAAGCCTGCAGAGGCAGACAAAGGCAACCAGATGCCGTGCGATGGACGGATATGGCTGCTTGTCAAAAAAACTTTATTGACGACTTAGATGGCAGGCAAGATTGACCTGTTTGAGGGCCCTGGTCCACATCCCTCAGCCTCGCTGCAGCAGGACACCCTCTATTCTGGGGTGGTGGGTTCCTATGCACCCCTCCACCCGCCCCTGGATTCTCCCAGGGGGCCTCTGGAGGGACAGCCGGCACGTAGGTCGTGCGGTGAAGTCCCCTCCTGTACCCCCAGGAGCGTGGGGTTCTGGGTCGACTGGATCAAGCTCAAGGACCCTGCTGGCCATTGTCACCCTCTTCCCCACAGTGTGCCGTGGACTTCCTGGAAGCCACGTGCTGTGCGTGAGCGTCTTCAGCGTGGCTCTCTGTGCTGTGTGATGTCCACTTTCTGCCTGGCCTTCGAAGAGGCGCCTGGGGAGCACATGCAGGAGAACTGCAGCAACCCCGAGCATTCAAGGAGCACTCAAGTGCCCCAGCCAGCTGTGCACAACCTCCTCCCGCCCCAGCTGTGTGCAGACCCCCAGCTGTCACGACAGGGAAAGGGGAGTAGGGGAGGAAATCCTTCCTCAGAGGGCAAGTCATAACAGAAACGGGCTGTCACCCTGGAGCACTGTCCTCCCGTTGTTCATTGATTTGCTCGAGCAGGCACCAGTAACGTCTCCATCATGAGACTTGTTGTTACTGTTTTTGGCATATCGAATACGTCACAGGGAGCTTGCCAGGCTCTGCCGTGCGGGTGGGATACTCTCGGTAGCTTGCTGGGCTCTTTGAGAGGGACAGAGGAATCGAACCCGGGTCGGCCACGTTCCTGGCAAATGCCCTACTCGCTGTGCTATGGCTCCAGCCCAACAGATACAGGCTATTGAGACAAAACCTTTTTTGGGGAGCAGCGAATCTCAAAGTATGCAAAAGGAACCTGGTACCCAAAAGAACTGGTGGCATCAGCAATCCACCAGGACCCCACGCCCAGGGATGGCAAATCTGGGGGCTGGAACACTCGAAACATTTTTTTTTCCCCGGGCTACATCAAGGGTACCTCCCCTGTAACAAGCAAGCACCAGGTACTCCAGGCGTGCTCTCTCTCTCTCTCCCTCTCTCTCCCTCTCTCTCTCTCTCTCTCTCTCACACACACACACACACACACACACACACCCCAGACTCACTCAGGCTCGGGGAAGTCCTGCCAGGAAGACAGGCGGAGCTCGGCGCTGCAGTTGGTGGCACGGTCCATCCACCAGTGGCAAGTGGAGGTGTTGAGGTAGTCGGAGATGCAGGTGGGCTCGCCCAGAATCTCCATGCACCCTGGGGAGACATCAGGGCAGCTGTGAGCAGCCGGGGCCAGTCAGGCAGGGACATATGCTGGCAGGACAAGTCAGAAGCCAGCTCAGAGAGGACCCACGTAAAACCAGGAGGGACCACCCCAGCTCAGGCACGTGCAGATGCACAAAGCCAGGGCCGGGCCCGGGGTCTGGAGACACCCAGAGCAGGTGGAAGGGCGACAGCCCAGCGGGAGGAACGGTCCCGGGTGCAGGACCCTCTGCAGTGCGTCCCAGGTGTGCCCGGGTCCCTGCCAACCTGCCTCAGGGCCCTGACGGAGTGCCAGGAAGGGAGTGAGCTCAGCAGCGCCCCCTGCCGCCCCGCCTCCGCCCTTTGTTGGTAAATTTGCTCCAGCGGGCACCAGTAATGTCTCCCCTCTACTCTGGACAGAGCACACAGTGAATGAATTCCATGCGCCAGGGGGTCCAACAGTGACAGGAGACGCTCAGCGTGGTAGGGGGCACTCACCTGCACCTGCTGTCCACACGAGCACCAGGCAGCCCACGGGGAAGGGGACGCCGGCGCACAGCCGCCCCATCAGGAGATCCTAGGCGCCTGCAGAGAGGAGGCTGGTCAGCGCCGCCACCACCCTGGCCTCTGCCCACACCGCGGGACAGCCACAGAGCCCAGCCCGCGGGGGTCAGCTGCGGGTGGCCGCCCGAGGCTGACCTCAGATGTGGGGCCCACCGAGAGTCGGCTCCCCAAACAGCTCAGCCAGCGCCTCCCACCGTAAGGCCCTGGGTTGGTGGGGGCTGGGAGGGGGGAGTTTTGAAGTCACTCGGGGTCCGCTCCTGACAAAGCTTGGGCCCCATGCAGTGCCGGGGATTGAACCTGCGGCTCCCGCATGCAAACCATGTGCCCAGCCTTCTGAGCCGCCTCCAGGCCGTGCCCACCCTTGGGTGCTCGGTCAGGAGGAAGTACAGCTACTGCTCCTCCTCAGCCGTGACCCTGCTCTGACCCTGCATGGCCCCTGTGGCTACAGCTGACGGCAGTGGGTCTGAGCTCAGTGGTGGCGACAGCCCAGCACGCATACGACAGGGATTCAGGACTCAAAGGTACAAGAAAGCACGTCAGAGGCTCGAGAGATAGTCCGGGGGGGGGGGGGGGGGCGGGGAGGTGTCTGCCTTGTGCACAGCCGACCAGGATTCTGCTCCCATATACGGCCTCCCCCCGCCCCACCCCTAACACCACCCAACTTGATCCTTCAGCAACAGGCTCTGAGCACAGCCGGGCGTGACCCCCCCCCCCCAAACAAATCACAGAAATGAAACCCCCTCCTCCCAAATCACAAGGTCTTGCATTTGTATACTGACTTCCAGTTCTCCAGATTTGCTTTTATAAAAATAGTGAAAGGAAAGGAAGAATAGCAGAAGAAATCAGATTCAGAATGTGAGCAACACCCTCTACATAGTTAAGACTTAATCAATTTTGAGGCTGGAGCAATACGACGGCGGGGGTTGTTTTGCACACGGCTGACCTGGGTTCAACCCACGGCACCCGATGTGGTCCCCCTAGCACTGCCAAGAGTCTGGGTGTGGCCCAAAGAGACAAAATTAATATATATTTTTAAAGTAACAATATATATATATATATATATATATATATATATATTTGCTGTTGAACCAAACCCAGAGGTGCTCAAGGCTCAGTGCTTGGGGTCAGTCCTGTGCTGCTGGGCTCTGTCCTGGCCTCCCACATGCAGGCCTGTGCGCCATCCACGGGACCAAATCTCTGCCCCTAACTTTTCCTTTCTGCCCCATTTAAATAAAAAAAAGAGAGAGAGAGAAAGAAAGAAAGAAAGAAAGAAAGAAAGAAAGAAAGAAAGAAAACTTTCTCGTGTCCTGAGCAATAGTACAGCGGGTACGGAGCCTGTCTTGCATGCGTTTGATTCCCAGAAGCCCTGAGCACCCCAGGGTGTTTGTTCCAGTCCTAAATCTCACCGCAAGTGCCACTCCACGCCAGCCTCTCAGACATAGGCGCAGACCCGGGCCCCCCCACCCCCGCCCCACACGGGGTCGGTTTGCAGCCACGTGCAGCTGGGGGCTGAGCTCCCTCCCCACTGCATCTCCCTGATGGTTTCCTCAACCTTCAACACCTGCGCTGGCCTTTGCCTGGTGCGAACCCTGACTCCTGTGCCTCAGTTTCTCCATCTGTAGAACTGGGCCCCTCTCAGTGGGGGTGAATGGGGTGCCTTATCTCTAGCGGTTTATCGTGTCACTCATCATGAAGGGCTTGGCGTCCAGGAGGGCGTGAATCCCCGCACTGAGAGGACCCGCCCAGTCCATGGCGTCTCTATCCAGGCCCCCTTCTGCTCTGTAAGTTCCTACCCTGGAGACAGAGACTCGAGTTTTCTCTATGGTCCAGCCTGGACAGATACCTCACGTGCACACACACACACACACACACACACACATACACACAACCAGCCTGCACATGCAGACACTTGCACATACAACACACGCACATACAACCAGCCTGGAGGGGGACCCCTGCACACATGCACATACACGCACATGTGCATTGCACAAGGACACCCAGCCAGCCTGGGCAGACGTCTGCTGCTTCCCCTGCGAATCCTCACAGTGAGAGGAAGTCCCTGCACGCCGCGGCGGCCGTGGTGGCACAGAGTGCCTGGCCCTGGGGAGGAGTCCCCCGAGTCCCCCGCCTGTAGCCACTCCAGGACCCTCGCTCGCTTCCTGCTTCCTTCCCGCCCCTCAGCAGCCCCCTCCCGACTCTCACTCACACCCAAGTGCACCTGCTCAGATGAATCGACCCTCGGACCTCCCAGTGTTTCAGGAGAACAGGAGCACTCTCGGGAGACCCCGGGGCAGGACAGGAGCCTGGAGGCACACCACGGGCTACACTGAGCCCTGCTTCTGGCTGGTTCTGAGCTGCGGGGATGCCCTGAGGAGCCCAGGGAAAGGCCCCCGGGGCTGCTATGTGTCTGATTATCCTTCACGGCCCAGACCTCAGCTTCCAGATCCCATCCTGCGTGCCAGGAACTTGGCTGGGGGGGGCGGGGGGAATGGGTGGTGCCCGGGACGATGCGAGCATGTAAGAGGCCGGGCCTGCAAGACCTCAGCCAGAGCAGCGGGTGGGCTGGCAGTGCCAAAGTGGGCCGATGCCACGAAGATGGTGCCCCAGCCGTCCTCCTCGGTCCTGGGGCCACACTCACCCAGGCGCTATTCCAGCTCACCACACAGCTCCCACACAGTGCCTCGTGAGACCCCTATCTGCTCCTCGTGAGTGAGTCCAGACGCTTATGAATCGACTTGATCGTGCAGGCCCAGGCACCAGCCGACCAGGTTGAGGACCCCATGACCCAGCTGGACCAGGTTCCAGGTGTTGAGCCCCTGCCCTGCTGCATGGAGCACCCAGGCTCACCCAGCCGTCCACTCCAGGGCGGCGCAGAGGGGAGGGAGCGGCAGCCACCCTCTTCTGGGGTCTTGGCTGGGCGCTGGGGTCTAGCTCCGGAGAGCTGAGGTGTGCCCGGCAGTCTTGGGCTCGGGACTTCGGGGTCCCACGGCTGAGCACGAGGCACCCCTCCCTGGGGACATGTGGCAGCCAGCCACCTCCTGCGGGGGTCAACGGGACACGGCAAGGTTCAGGAGTGCGGTGGCATCCCCCACACAGTCCAGCCACCTCCCTGCCCCCGTCACCAACATCCACAGCGTCCTGCAGCCCCGATTCTAAAGAAAGAGAACCAGGTCAAAGTGCGCGTCCGGAGCCACACTCGGGAGCGAGTGTGGAAACCCCAGCAGGCTGAAAACACGGCTAAGCAGACAAGCTACTCCGACCTGCTTCAGAGGGCGCCTCCACATAGATGCTCGCACGCGCGCGCACACACACACACACATATGCAGAGGCACTGACAGACACACAAAGAGACACAGACACACACAGGTGTATGCTCAGAGATGTGGAGACACACATTCACACAGATAAGCAGGGACATACACAAAGACACAAGCGCACACACATGCACAAACATGCAACCAGCCTAGACAGATGCCTGTACACACATGCACACACAGAGTGTGGATAGACACCCATGCACGCACACACATGCACACACCTGCACACACACACAATACAGCCAGCCTGGGCCGATGCATGCACAGACACACACCTGCACACACACCTACAGCCATGCACACACACACATGCACACAGGGCCAGCCTGGGCAGATGCCTGCACACACACGCACACATACACACACATGTGCACACACATGCATACACACAGTCAGTCTGGGCGGATTCCCGCACACACATGCACACATACATATACATATACACAGTGTAGGCGGATGCCCGCACACACATGCATACACATGCGCACACACACACAATCAGTCTGGGCGGATGCCCGCACACACATGCACACACACAAGCGTACACACATGCATACACATAGTCTGGGCGGATGCCCGTATATACATTCACACACACATGCGCACACACACACACCTGTGCATACACACTCACACACACGCGCGCGCGCATACACAAAGCCACCCTGAACAGACACAGCCTACCTGTGTCCCTCCTGCTCTCTCTGTGGACACAGCTACTGAGCCAGCCGAGTCCCCCAGGCCCAGACCTGCAGACGCTCAGGCTGAACCCACAGATTGGACAAGGAAGGAGTGGGTAGGCTCTGACCAGGGGCCTGGCCTGAGTCAGCACCACGGGCCTCAGGACTTCACTGACTACACACGACCTGCAAGCAGAGGTGAAGTGGCCACTTTTCAAGAGGCCATCTAGGGTCCAATTAACAAAGATGTGAGAGCCAGGGCCTGGGAGGTGATGATGCCAATTAGCCCTGTGCTCCCCTTGGAAAACACTGACGATCTGAAGCCTAGCAGGGGACAAGTGACCCAGAGGAACCCCCAAGCCCAGAGGGACCAGCGGCCCTCACCTAAAGACCCTGCCCTCTTTCCCGCAACCTCATCATCCACTAACTAAAAGCAGCACTTAGGAAGTCTCTCCAAAACCTGGCAGGGAGGAGTTCCTCGGATTCTTGCTGGCCCAGGGAAGTGGACGCAGGCGCTATCCGCATTCCAGAGGAGGCGTAGCACATACCTGAGGCTGAAGGGTGTCCTGGGGCTGTCCCCGTGCCCCTGTCTGTGGGCCAGGGTCCCCGATGCCTGGAGCACCCCCACCCTGTCTGAACATCTGTGCAAACTCCAAACCTTTCCACATCTCACGGCGCATCCGTGTGGGGGCGGGGGGAGGCACACACAGGACCCTGGAGACCCCGGCAGGGACCCCGGCTCAAAGGTCCTTCACACGCCTGAGGTCCGGGCTCCATCCCCAGCCTCCGAGCATTTGAGGAGTGGCCACAGATGCAAAGCCAGACCAAAAGTTCTCCCGGGCTCCCGAACACGCTGTGGTCGCATCTCTCGAAATCCAGTCTGGGATGGGAGCTACGAGACGGGGCCTGGCGGGGGGGGGGGGGGGGGGGGGGGACGACTGTACCAGGCACCCCATCTCTGCAGTCAGAGATCTCAGGCGGTCCCTGTGGACTGAGGGGGGGGGGCGTTGGCTGGGGGTGT